ATGAAATTATTATTAATGAAATTTTGATTTACTTGATTATATACTGATTAATAATTAATTTTATCAGTCGGTTATATCACATTTATATAATTACATAAATAATAATTGATTTATTTTGGTTATTAATTTGCCGGTTATTTTAGTCCAATAAAATTTTAGTCAATTAAAAAGATGTCATATTCGAAAATTTTACCAACAAAATCCTGATATTTTTCCGCAAAGTTTACGTTGTATATTGGTTGCACAGAATTACGAGTGTTTGTATATGCATAACGAGAATGTGTGCAAAAATAAATTGGAACATTGCTCAATATGTAATGAAAACGATGAAAATTTTCAAAATAGACATCTCGAGCTGTCAGTCAACGTAAATATTTAATAATATAAAAATTTTGTAGCTTGTATATACAGTGAACGTGTATTTGCTCCTTTCAGAAAAATTCCAAGGAACATTGCTGTACTTCTACAATTGAATTTACAAGCTCAAAAATATACGAAAAATTTGCAGAAAGATTTCTTTATATGCACAATTATGTTTTCTATTAAATATAAAACAAAGAAGAATGTGTTAGTATAACTCTCTCTCTCTACGTTATCGACATTTTTGGAATTCGTCATTCATTTTGGCATCTCCTTAATATTCAACGCGAATCTACAGTAGTAGACTAGGCATAGACTAGTAGTAGAGACCAGATACCTATAAAGTTATGTAAAAAAGAAATGTGCACGCCTACTAAATGGTTAAAATCGAAAAGGCAAAGCCACGTCTGTGTATATTTTTTTTTCGTATGCATTGGATCCCACGCGATAAGACGCGCGATGAATGATTTATCCCTCGTGAAGAGAACAGGTCGTGCGCAACGTGGCGAATGAAATATTCAAATTAGGCACGACGACGAGTGACGTCTCGCACTAAAATGTCAAACTCGCCGGCAGAAAATAAGTCTCGCGGACGAAACTTCGACGTGGAGGGTTACGAGGCTAATAAACCTCTTTATTACGCGTCGTGAAGAAACCCATCCGCTTTATTTCGCCGAGAATCGCGGCGAAAGTGTCGTTTTAATAAAAAGTATCGTGTCGACGGAGGAGGAAGATGCGCAGCTAGACTACCCGTCTCTCCGCGAAGGGACGGCTTTAATCCGACCGTAATTTCGTCGTTAAAGTTAACAACATCTCCTGGCGCTAATAGCCCAACTCTCGCGACGCCGTTGTCATCATGGACGATCCGGCGTGAAAACAATACGCCATCTATATGCGAATATCTACAATGAATAATTGTAACATCGAGCGATAATGAATAATTGTATTTATACATATACACGGCGCGAGTTCGCGCTATCGACTGCTTCGCGCGTCCTGTTTTCACGATCCGACGGCGTGATCGTAATGTACCGAGTCCAAGACTGGCGCGTGCGATACTCCACCTGATAATATCGTCCGCCGAACGTGACGCTGACAGACGTCACTATCGATTATGCACGACGACGAGGTGCGCGTGAGCGCAAGCCGCGATCTCGCTCGTTTCTCGCGGCCGGATCGCGCGTATTCCATTTGTATTCGCACTTGACAGCCGAAGCCTGCACGTACTGCTCCGTATAAACGTGGGGAACCTGATTTCACGTGACGACAGCGCATCAATTCTTCGCCGGTCATAACACGCGAGCGCGATGGCAGTTTTCGATACTTGCAAAATGGCTTCTTTCACGCTACGGCCTGAGACTCTCCTTCGACGTTTCCGGGCGTATATACAGGGTGTCTGACGATTAACGACACAATAGTTGTGGGCAGGTAGAGCTCGTCAAGCTGAACACAAAATTTCTTTATCATTTTGCAAACGACTATATGAAATTTTGAATTAACAATCAAAGAGGATTGGTGAACGATCATGCACGATACGACAGATAAGCTGTGATGGCGCAATCGTGTTTTGTACATTAGGTCAAACTAAACAAGAAAATCTTCTACCATTTTGCAAGTGCCACATGGGAGTATTTTTAGTTATTATTTATTAATTTACTTTAATCTAAAATTAAATTTATTTATTTATTAAATTATTAGTTATTAATTAAAGGAGACTGATGCATTATCGCGGACAATTATACGTCAATCTTCCTTAAGAATTAAAAATCTACATGGTGACTTGCAAAATGGTAGAGGACTTTTTTGTTCAATTTGAACTTTAATGTACACAACGGCAGCTGTCGTTCGTTTATTGCACGTGATTTGCTGAATCTTCTTTGATTAATCACCCAAAATTTTACGAGGTTGTTCGCGAGATAGTAGAAGAATTTTGTACTCACAGTTTGATGAGTTCTATTCTCCAAATTTTTTGAAGTGAAACTTCACTCAAAAAGCAGAGTGACAGACAAGTCATTCCAACTCGAATTATTTTTCACTCCTATAGAATGAATTCTCCACTCTGAATCTTTGAGTGAATATTTTCATTCGAAATTGAAGAATGAATCCGATACATTCCACCATCAAGGGAACATATTCACTCCAATCGATTGAAACATCCGCTCATATGGAGGCAGAATCCACTCTAATCTTGAGTGAAACATTCTCTTGTGACCTCGAGTAACAGTATTTTCACTACTGCCCCGAGTGAAAATACTGTCTCTTTCCACTCCAAGAAATTTAGAGAGTATCTACACTCAGAAAAAAAGTAATTGAGTTAATAAGACTTTACTTGAGCGAACAAAATTCATAGAAGCGAACGTTTAGTCGATTGAATGAATTATATTGTTGCTGCGATGAATTATATGTATATATACACCAATTGATTCACTGATTTTGGTTAATAACTATATCAACGCAATTTATTGTTGCAATAACGTGTTTAATTTGTTTACAAATAGGCACTATATTTCTTTGAAGGCGGGCCAATTTTGTCGGTCCAACTGCTTTTTTCTCGGTGTATACACCTCAACCGCATAAAGAATTGTCGAATGCCCTGTATACATATATACGTACAAGTCATTTGTTTCGAAAGTGCAGCGAGCTCATAGCTTCGATCACCCAGTCGCGGATCGATGCAACGCGTTAGTTTATATTCACGTCTCGTCCAGCTCTCCGGCCGATAGTGCACCTCCTGGCGCGAGGTACAAACTCGTCGTCTGCAGATTCTGTTAATTCGACGAAAATTCATAGACGACCGCGCGCCGGCATCATCACGCGCGAGACATGAGCGCGTAATCACGTAGGTTCAGTTTGCCCATTAAGATGTATATTGTCCAGTCAACGCGCGAACATGTGTCGCGTCGCGCGTCGCGCGCGCGGATAAACATGTGGTGCGTCAGATATCCTGGATACAACACCGGCTGTACGGCTGGTAGTCTGTAACGGCCGATGGACGTCCGACGGATCGCGAATACTGAAACGCAGACGCTATAAATATCGGCCGGAAGGAAGCGCGGGGGCAAGGGAGGGTAGGATGCGGGGATGCCCGGAAAGGAGGGAGGAGCGCTGTGGAACGACGGGAGATCGCCGGCAGAGAAACGCCGAGATTGACAATAGAGAGCGGACGAGGGCGAGGATCGAGGGTAGCCCGAGAAAGTTTTCCAATTTGAAGCAATTAGTTTGCAGTACGGCGTTGGATGGCATGCATCCAGATAATCGAATATGGGTCAGCGTTCAAAGTGGGATGGCTCGATCTACGGTCAGGTGGAGGAGGCGGGCGAGTTTCCCGAGTGTGTGCACGTGCGACGGGTCAACCCCGTTCGCGGTCCTGGTATGTCCGACGCTTCGCATAAAACCACGTGGCACGATTCGGCAAGCGGCTGCCTTAGAATCCCACCGCTATCTGTCCGCGGTAATCGATTGATCGATCGCATCTCGCCGATCTACCACCACCGCGATTGATCGATTCACCGCGATGCACCCCCAGAGTTGGGTTGCGTCGCTCCTCGGCGTGGGCGGGCGGGCGAGCGAGCGTCTTCGGCCGCGGTGATAGAGCTTTAAAGTTTTCCGCCACACGTACGTATGTTCGTACATACGTACATGTGTGTGTGTGTGTGTGTGTGTGTGTGTATGTGCACGTATGTATGTACGTGTGTTTGCGGGTTGTCGGACTTGGTTGGACGAAGATATGCGAGAAAGGAAATTGCGGTATCGCAACCTAACGCGCGCGCACGTTGCTTCAGTGAAATTATATAATATATATAGATGTCGTGTACGATATCCGCGATTCGTGTTCTCGCAATTACGCATGTGAAATATTCGGCGTATAATAGCGATGACGCGAATTGAGAGGATCTCTCTCTCTCTCCCTCTCTCTCTCTCTCTCTATTTTCTCTTAACTCGTAAATAAATAGCTTAAATTGATCTAAACGTATAAATAAACGAATGTTTCTTCAATGCGAGATATAAAATGAAATATTTTGTAAGTAAGATGAAAGTACCAATACCTGTACACTATAATAACACTGACACCTAACTTTAGACATTCTTATGATTTTGTTACTTGAATATGAATATTTAAATATAGGATATATACATATATAATATTTAAATATTAGGATATATACATATGTATACATAGAATAAATATTCTACATAGAATACTAATAATATGTATAGAATACGAATAATATTATTAGGTTTACACACACACAGATATCGGTATTTTTATCTTATAAACTTTACGATCTTAACTTACGATGGTGACTCGAGAAGTGTCTTTCTCATTCTCTCTCTGAGTTCTCGTAACCCATAAGAACGATAATGGATATGTGGGGGTCAATCTGACTCGAACACATAAACGAGTAGAAAGTTTCTCCGGTAAGAAATATGAAATGAAATATTTTTCAAGTATACATTTCCAACTTGTGATGCTTATACAAATTATTATTTTACGTTTAAAACACGTATCTTAGTTTATAACTACTAGTAGGTAAAAAAATTCACACGCCTAAGGGTTAAATCTATATCCGAATTGCAAGTAATTTTAAGAAAATGTTCCTTGTGACCGTAACTGGAAATTGTTCCGTTTCCGTTTACAGAGTCCGAAGCCAGCTGGGAGGAATGGTGGACCTACGACGGTATTTCCGGTGAGTAGTTTTCTTCGTTTCTTATGGAGTTACACTGTTCCGTGAAAGTAAAATTCATGTTAATGTATGACTTACTCGTTGAATTTTTCGTCGCAAATGTAGCACTACAAGGACAAATGCTAGAGACGTATGCGAGCTGCTAATTATCATTGTCACAATTTAATGGTCATTCATACGAGAGATATTCCCGTCGGAAAATGTTCGCCGTGCTCGCGACGCTTTTTCGCTCCGCTGTCGTTTCAACGTGTCACGCTTAATTTCCGCGTTCTTTCCTTCTTTCTTTTTTGTTATTTCCGACTGTCGCGCGGCATGATAGACAAAGTAGGAAACTTAACCGGTCTGTTGCGCCAAGTTTGTGCATTTCGCGCAAAATTCTCGCAACTTCGCTACCGAATAGATAGATTTATGCGACGTTAATTGAGTCGACAGGAAATACATAATATCTAACATATACGTGTACAATTAATTTCACAATACGAGATTCTGTATGCACATGTGAAAACATATCTATCGCGCGACGTCTCCTCGTCGTGGCACCGCGAAATCAAGTTATTATTGCAGTCGAGTTTGACGAGACAACATGTGTCCGATAAATTGGGACCAAGTTTACTCCGTTTGAAACGTAAATGTTTGAAATACGTCAAGCTCCCTGAGAGAGAACGGAACGTAAGTATTCAGCGAGCTCAGCCGGTCGCGCGGCTTCTTAATTTTCTTAATTTTAAGTTACGACGCCATCGAGTGCCTCGGGGCACCGGTGAATTTTTTAATCTCAGCGCTCTCCTCTCCCTTTTCTCTTCCTCCTCTTCCTCGCCCTCTCTCTCTACCGCCATCAGGCCGTAGTTTTTATTAAAAATAAGCCGAGCGCCGATAAGGCCGCGTTGGTCGAGGGTCTTGAGTTTAGTGTTGTTCCGCCATGCGAGCCAGCTGCCACACGAAAAACAGTGGCGTATACTTGGCCAAGGAGCGTGCGCATAAAACGCCAAAAATCCCACTTCCACCTTCATTGTTAGCCCTTTTCCTCTACTCTCTCTCCTTCCCCCTACGTCTCCTTTGATCATGGGTCACGCGCAGACCCTGCGAATTTCTCTTCGGTCCGTTGACGTTAGAGAGGAAGTTGTTGATCTCATTTCATGGAATTTACGAGCGCCACATAATTTCGCCATCGATTAGCTCGAGTGCCTCAACGAAATTAAGTTCGCCTCGCGAAGTGCCGGTAATATCGTTATCGCGCGTGATATTCTTGCGACGGCGGACCCGGGACTTGTCGTCTCTCTCTCTCTCTCTCTCTCTCTCTCTCTCTCTCTCTCTCTCTCTCTCT